CTTTTTTTTTTTTTTTTTTTTTAACTTTTGGTGAATTTATTTGCCAAAAGATAGATTTGATTTTATTTAAGATGTAAATAATATTATTTATGTATGATATTTTTTATTTAAAAATACACTATCTATATTTAATTTTTTAGTTTGAAAATTAATCGTAATTAATTATTTGATTAAATACTGCAATTATTTTCAATGTCAATGATATCAAAATTAAAAAATTTTCAAAAATTTGATTCAACAAATAGTTATGTATCTTTGAGACGTATTGAAAAAAATGCGGGTCTGATTAGTTGATATTTAGACTAATAAAATGCACAAAAAATAGGTATGCATATTGAACAAAAATGTCATGTTTACAAATAAGATACCATCATATGTTGGTGGCAATAAAAAAAAACCGAGTCTTCTTATTAATCATTAGCCATTTCCTTACAGTATAAACATCAATTTTTTTCAATTTTTATTCAAAGATTAGAATAATAAAATAATTTACGCTATAAAACATTATATTTACATACAAATTAAAAACATTTTCAAGAAAAATTTCGAAAAGCTTTACATTAGATTCTTAAATTGTGATTTAAAAGAAGAATCACTAAGGATTCATTATTGCAAAAAAATATAATAAAATTATTATACAATTTTGATTAATCTTTCACTACTGCTCATATAAACGCAAGAGTAAATGATTAGAGATTGCATCATATGAAAGAGTTATAAAGTTTAAGAAAATGTTGTTTTGACAGGTTCAAACAATTCCCAAAGGGCATCTTTCATTTCTTCAACGAGTTCTTTCTACCCTTTAACCTTAATATATCCATGATTTATATTTACATCCTTCTTCTGTCCACAGTGGAATTATGTATACATATCTCTATATGCAAGATTCGTCACGCAAAACCTACCTGTTTGTCACTCGAGTCGAATACATCTTGTGACTGTTCCACTCGTCAGCGTACTGTGCTTACGAATGTACGACACAAGAGTCGTATGTGTATTATTTAGCATGGCCGGTGAAGGCACCTGCGACGTTGCAACTATCTTATTCTCTCCTTTGGCTGTCCTGCGATGACTACCTCGTAAAGTTCAGCCAACGCGCCCACTCGTCACTGCGAACAGGTTCCACCCGTGCCTTTGCGCTTCCTCTTTCACGATACTTACATACCTGACCCTTCTTTTACCTTGTTTAATTATCATCAATTATCATCGCGTACTTTTTATATAAGATTTAATTTCAATTGAACAATTGAAGTTGTTCGATATTTTTAAAATGTTCGTTCATTAATTTTCCCAAGAGAAAACGAAATTATTGGTGAACCAATAGAAAAATTCATTTTTGATTTCTTTTTCTTTTAATTTGAAATGAAATTTTTGAAGATTATATACGTATTAGATTATATACGATTATACACGTATGTGTGATCAATAAATATGAATATGTACATCATATAACCGAAATAGCATAAACATATCATTCGTTTCCATTTGAAAAATTGATAACAATGGAGGATAATTGGTAATCGATCAAAAACACAAAATCGAAACTAATTATATATAGATAAAAATAATTTTGTGAGCAAAACAAAAAACATTCGTCCAGAAGGAGTATTATCATTTTATTTTTTTCGATTAGATTTTTCAATTAACAATTGAGAACCGTTCATACGCGAAAATGCAATGAAAATACGCCGAATGTTACGTCCCATTGTGTGTACGTGTAAGCAGGAAGATGCTGTGCGTAAAAAGCTCGAAGGGGTGGAAAAAAATGCATGAGAAAGGGAGAGTTCTCCCACACATAAGGGTGCTGTCCGTTGTCTGCCATATGGCCCCTCTTTTTTTTACCCACCTCTATACGGCTTTCTTCCCACATGACAAAAGTAACCACTCACGTGTGCGTGCACGTGTGTGTTTACAGCTGTACATGGGTCCCGTGCTGGCTTCCTTGAAAGTGAACAACCTTTTTTGTTATAACTTATAACAAAAATGAGCAACCAGTTTCGCATCAGGTGGAAATTTTTATACGTTTTCATTGTTTTTAGGGATATAAATAATATTCTCTCGATATACATACCAT